TACTATAAAATGCCAACATCAATGCGCGTATATACTCAAACACGGTGACTCGACAACAGCGTATTGCCTCAATGCAATCTTCCGGCAGCTGCTTCTTGGTTTTGCCGCGCTCCTCCTTGTTTTTCTTCCTAGCTTTGGTTTCCTCCTTCTTTTTGTTGGGGTTGGCCTCCTCCGCTTGGTTCTCCGGTGCTGTGCTCTTCTTTTCGTTGTTTTTCTCATTTGTTTCACTCTTCTTTGGTTTTGGAGCTGGCTTTGTGGCTTTGCTCTTGGCTGCCGATGTGCCGGTTGGTTCGCACTCCTTGTTTTCCTCCTGCTTGCTCTTTGCGCTTTTGGATCCTGCTCTGCCTTGTCCTTTTCCTCCGCTACTGCCTCTGCCAGATCTGCCTTTTCCTCTGCCTCTGCCTCTGCCTCTGCCTCGCTGTTTGGGCGCTGCCTGATCCTGCTCATCTTCTTCGCTCTGGCCGTCTCTGTACTGCCTGTCGCAATCTTCGTTTTCAACCTCACCGACACCATCTTCGCTAAATTTCTTTTGCCGCTTGATAGCCTGTCTCACTTTCCTTTGCGCCTGAACGAGATGACAAACCACAGTTGCAAACACCAGTTTTAAAATAATACGCAGGTGAGCAATACTGGATCATTGATTTCTTGCCTGCACCAAATCTTCGTTGCGAGCACATGTGTCCGATAGTTCCTGCATCATTTCATCCGCCCTGCGAGCAAGCGCCGCATCCTCCATCTCCAAATTGGCAACGAGGGGCTTGCGGTCCTTAGCGCCATGCTCGTGATGCATGTGTACACATGCATGTACATGCGCGTATATGCATATACATCACGTGCATGCATGCACATGCATAGTGAACCTATGATCGCACACACGCGTGCGCACATGCAGCCATCCGGCCTGGTTGGCAGTTGCTCCGCGCCCATCGTCACTCTTGAGGTCCTGCGCGAAGCATCAAACGCATGCCTGCACCGATTGGTTAGCCTGCAGTCCTCGTCCGTCGCGTGGTTTCCGTCGTGATTGCTCTGCCTGCATGCGGCTTCAAGCGCTGCTTGTTGCATGCGTAGCCCTTTGTGGGCAGTCTCCGGCACATCCGTGCGTGCTTGCTTTGGCTCCGGCTCATTGCTTCTGCTTCTGCTTGCACAGCGCTTATCTTGTTTACCCACACGCTCTTGCCGCTGACCGTTCTGCTGCTGCTGCTGTTGCTGCTGTGCTTGTTGTTGCTGCTGGTCTGATTCGGCGGGGTCACTCTCCTCAACCGGCTTCTCTTTTTGTTCCTTCTCAACGCCCACCTGTTGTTTCTCAAGCTCTTCATGTTCCTGCTGGCGCTGCTGTTGCTGCTCTGTTTCAACTTTCGCTTCAGCTGCCGTGCTTTCTTTCTCATCCTGAGCCTTCGGGCTCTCTTGATCTGAAAGTTCCAGCTCCTTATCTTGCTCAAGATGTTCTTCCTCCTCTCCTTCGAAAACATTGTTTTCACACGAGTTCTCTGGCTCTGCTGCTTCGTCCTTGCCATCTTGCGGTTCCTTTGCTGCGGTGTCCCGCTGAGGCTGGTCATGTAGTTCGACATGAACATCCTCGCCATCCTGATCCTCCTCAGGTTCTTCCTGACGACAGGCGAAGGTGGGGGGAACAAAAATGGCCTTGCTTGAATTTGCGAGCGACCAACTACTATTCTGAATTGCGTCGGGTAGAGGCATGGTACCCATTATAGGAATGGGTGAAGAAGCGCGGGAGCCACAGCAAGACAGTAGAGGATAGGCTAGAACTGTACTAGCTAGTCTAGGCTGCCTGAGAGAGGGACTTGAGTGAGACAGCGCGTGGGTGGAAAATATAAAAAGATCGAGTCAGTGGGCGGGAAACTAAAGCCTGGACGGGACGAATGAGACTCAAGGGAGAACGACCTCCGAGAAAGCTTGCGGATTTAGAGAGAGAGAGAGAGAGGATTGGAGAGGAAGATTCCGAGCGCCCTAGATCTAGGGAATGGGAAACTGGGAGTCTCCTCCAAATCCCCAGCATCGCCCGCCACCCCCAGCATTACCAAAAACACCCCGAGCATCACCAGCAACGCGGGCATCCTCCTTTAAGCTTTGCTTACTTTGGCAAAGGAGAGCTACCCCCCCCCCCCGACAGCATCACCAGCAAGACCCCCAGCATCACCAGCAACCCCGACTCAATTTTGCTTTCAGACTACAGCGGCTAAATGAGCGGATAGTGGGGCAAACATGTCGACTAGTATCTAAGTTGGCTGACATTAGGCTGTGGTGCTACAACTGAGACATGTGCATGCATGCATGCATAAGTGACGTCAAAACTGTCCAACTTTGTCGCTTTGACCCCCCGACTCCTCCAAGTTTGAATCTGGGTCAATCTCACCAAGGGAATTCGACTCCTGCAGCAAGGCCAGGATACGAGCAACACATCATTTCATGTTGCTGCTGTCCTTGCTGGAACCCTTTTTGGCATAGCGGCCCCGTACAGGAATCTTGGTGCCATTGCCTCGCAATTTCTGGTTCTCCTGCGATCATATATTTTAATCCGACTTTTAAAATAATTTTGAGGTCCCATATTGCGTGCTTTGTCACCAAAGGCCACAAGGCGCGCTAACAGCTGTCCTCCAGCTTCACGCGCACGATTTCCTTGATCTGTGCCATCCGCTCGCATTTTGATGACCTGTTGCAAGTGCACGGTGCACGAATGTAAGCATGCATGGACCATGGGCCCACCTGACCCCTTGGTTGCGCTGATACCTTGTCATACAGTATGAAGCGAGCTGTCGGTGCAGGTTGCCCTCGATGCTGGCCCATGCCTGCAGAGGACGGTTTCGGGAAACGTGCGGGGACGAAATGAGAGCGTGGCTTCGTGCTCCCAGCGGTGCTTGAAGCAAGTGTTCAGCTTGTACTTGATGGCCAGCTCGGTCATCACCGCCTGACAAAAGACCGATCAACTTCACGTGCCAATGATCATCAATGAGTTTCCCCTGGCCTCTACCTCCACCTTTTTGGGAAGAGAGTCAAACTCACCGACAAAAGTGGCCAGGTACGCTGCGGTTAGCTCGAAGTTCACATCAGAGACTACCTGTGCATGTGCATGTGCATGCATGCCGGCGAGCTAAACCATCCCTCAAGAACCTCAAACGAACCAGCTGCATTGCTTGACCAGCCTCCCTTTCAGACACGCGGTGCGATGAGATATCCACGAAGGAAAATTTGCAAACCTCGTGCGTGAGATCATCATCAATTAGCAACAAGCCCGAATGGCAATCCCAAGCAAATATTTAAAGCATGCAAGCTAGGAACTCTGGGGTCTTTCCTGCTGAGACCATGCAAATCACGCAGATGTTTGCGCCGTCCGGCCACATAATCCGGTTTATCCAGTAGCTCGCAATAAAACTCCTGTCATGGTTGGGCTGGGTATCACTACATGCGCACACACACATGCGCATGCCACAATTGACTCCTTCAGGAGACTCAGCACAGCTGGGCGGCACCTCGTTGATGACGACATGGCGCAGAAAAGAGCGCGCTGAGCTGACCAGGTTTCATGCAAAATCCCACGATGAAAACCAAATCTGTGCACCACTGTTCGTCTGTATCCCTGCATGCCCGACACACCGGCTTTGAGAAAAACGCGGTCCAAACAACTGTGAGCGCCAAAGCACATTGGGCAACGCCGACACAATGGGTGGGAGGCACCTGGATGCCAAAGCAGTTGCTGCATCAGCAGCCGGTTGGCCGCTGCTTTCATGGCCACCGCTCAGTTGGCCCGGCGCCATTTCGTTTTTCAAATCATGGTGCTTGCAACCGTCTCAAAAACACAAGATATCACCTGTTATGCCTGCACTAGATTTATTGTTTGGTGTTAGTGTATCTGATTAGGTCGAATGAAGGGCAGAACATGGAAACCGATTAGTGCGTGGACTCCCCAGCGTGATGGACGAGCATGTCTTGAAAACTAGTCACCATTGATCCTGAGAAGTGCGAGGCCAGCCATGCATGCCATTAAGACAGCCACCCTTCAGAATAGCAAAAAATGTCCTTTGTTAAGCAATAAATGTGCGTTGTTCCTAGCACATTAATTAAATGTCCGAGGAAGAACTGGGCAAGGTGATGCTTGAAACCACCAAAGGCCGAAATACAGGGAACCTTGTTACAAGGGGAAAGGCTTACCTCTACCAGCACCTGGGATCCACTCCGTTCCCCCATGTTCCAGGGATCTTCTTGGCAAGCTCAAACACATCCCTTCTCGGGCAAAAGGGTGACGAGTCCGCAATTCCGTTGATCCGGTCTTCATTTCACAGAACCATAACATGAATTTCCGGAGAAAAACAAAAGGACAAAACAAGGGGGAAACAAAAAACAGGAGGCAGCACTTGCATAACTCTCTCTCTCTCTCTTTTTGTGGTTGTGATGTTTGAGGGTACCCATTTTGAGGAACATGAACACAAAAGCAACATCATGCATGCTGGGGGTCCAAACTTAAATGTGGTGATCTTAACACCCCAGGGAACGTCAGGGGTTGTGAAAAGGCCGGGGGGATCCCCAGGTTGCGCCAAAGTTGTTGATCTTCACCCAGTTGCCCAATGATTCCAATGATGGCAAGAGATTGGAACCCTCTTTCAGGGGTCATCTTCAACAGGGAGCCCAGCCACCGCATCCAAAGAGTCGAATCTGCATCAAACAGCACCCCTTTCCCAAGGGAAGCAAGCGGGCGGAGCCAAACCCGATCGCTTGGCGAAATGGGCATCTTCTTTGGGAGGAAGGCATGCACCATGTCAAGACCTGAGGGCAATAGCGGTTGCTTTCTGCTCCCCTGCTAAAAGTTCAACTTTTAGTGGTTAAATGGAAAACCCATTAGATCCGATTAGTTGGCAAACAGTTGAAGTCCTAACATCCCTTTGCAAAATGCACCAAAGAATATATCATCTTTGAATACACAAACCACCCTTCAGAGGACCTGAGCGCTGGGAAAGGTTTGCGCATGGCGCGGTTTCCTCCCCGGCCTCAAGGGTGGCTTCTTGGGAATGACAAACTCGTCCTCCTCCTGCGCGTCCACGGCCACACAGCAGAGGTTTGGCGATGTTGCAAACAGGGTTGCCCAACGGATATACTGCGGCCCTACTGAAAATCTCACTTACCAGCTGCTTTAGAAAACGTCAAAGACCCGCCCTTCTTTTGTGGGCAGCTGCTGTAGAACAAACTTCAAAGGCCGGCCCTTCTTGTGCGAGCAGCTTCTCAGTTGTTCAGTGACCCTAAGAAAAAAAGGGAACCCTTTTTGGGGAAGACCATTTTTAGCGGGGCAGCCACAAAAAACCGGAAAAAGGGTGCCACTGAACAACTGCGGCTTCTACCGAAGATTTTGTGAGCTTCCCGATGGGCAGAATGGCTCCTGCTTGTCCTCCTCCTTGGCCTCCTCGATGTCCACATCCAGCTGCGGGCACGCGCTGCGCGCCTCGTTGCCTCGCCATCGTGCAACGAGTCTCACCCGGGGAGCCAATGGCTCAGAGTGGGTGTCCCTGCCATGACGTAAGTGATGAATATACCAGCTGACTGAGCTCCTAAGCGGCTTGCATGTAGGGTAATTCACAAATCCCGATTCATTGGGGGACTTGTCAAAACCAAAATGGGCACGCCTCAAAACCAACTCCTCCCAGCCCCCGAGGGCTACTTTCCATCTCCAAGCCCAACCCCAAGTCGGATTCGTTCTACGCAAAAAGCAGCTGGGTAGGTAAACCCTCGTTCCCTTTGCACAACCTTGGAAGCTTCGGAAACAGGCAAATCTACATCACGGAGTATCCCTCGGTCTTTCCCCGGGTATCTTCCCAATCCCAACCTGGCCAACAAACCAATAATAAGAACTTTGGTCATACTTTGATACCCTGTTGTTAGTTTGTTGTTTGCCTGGTAGGGAGTTGTCTCAGACACGCCTGAGACGACGTCCGTTCAATAGGGCTTGAGCCAATCCATTCTGCTTCCATCGTTCCTTCCCGCAGCCCGTTTCCAGGTTTGGCGGTCTGGAGAATATTGCATATCTGGAAAAGGGACAGTTTGACATGGATTTTTGGGAACCTTAGCTTTCTGAACCCTTTGGGCCAACTCCAAAGCGGGTCATGGCACTAAGCAATGTGGACCCGGTTGAGAGGCAACCGTCCTGGTTCAGAGTGCGCGCCCTGCTTCAGGCGGGATCGGGATCACTTTTAGGGGACGCAAGACCGCATCAACTTGCCAGGTTCCTAAGTCCGAAGTCAAGACAGATGAGTCTCTGATTCGCGTCAGTCCGCCCTTCTAACATAGTTTTGCAGGAGACCCCAATATAACTTGCTCGCCGTGCGGCGGGTCGTGATAAAGCGGGGCGCAAAGCCGCTGACGCAGTAAGCGTCGTAGCCTTACAGCCCAAAAAACACATGCGGCTGACCCTCCAACCGAGAAACACACATGCCAACCAACCGGCGAAAGACGATAAAACTCAACGGCTCTTTGCTCTTAAAATCAAGTGGACATGGAAGAAACCGACCCAACAAGTATGTCTGCCACCAGCACTCAAGGAAGGGCTGTTTCTTTCAATCTCAGGTTGTGTTTTTGTTCCTTTAGGTTATTCTTCTTCGTGCCGAAAGAGATTGTCTTCGTTTGCTCGCATGGTAAAAGACTGGCACAAACAATCGAAGCTGAACCAAAGAATGACAGACCCAACCAAAGCGAGCAACAACAAAAAGCTGGGAACACAAACGTCTCAGCGAATCTTCCCTCACTCTGGTTGATCCACACGGAAAGGGGGTACCTAAGAGGTGGCAAGACCCCGAATGAAAACTGTGAGTTGGACAATTCCACACCCTATGAAGGTCCATACGGGGGTTGATCAAAGGGTCCAGTTGACATGGGATGACCATTGGGGGAAACCACTAAAAAGACTTGATGTGTCCCACGAAATGGGACAAGTTAACCATGCCCATTTGGGGGCCAAGAATAGTGATCAACCCGCATGTGTAGGCCTAGGACTCTGACGAACCCCAGAAGCAGCACTGCAACAACGGCAAACTGGAATCAGATTGCGGGTGCTCAAGTCATTTAGACCTCTGGGCGTGCTTTTCGGAAAAAAATATTGTAATGATAAATGAGTGCAACCACACTGCAACTATTTGGGTGAGTCTTTTTTTGGGTCCCCCCAACTTCTAGGTGTCCCTTTGTTTTTCCTTGAGAACCACAACGAAAAGGAGTACACTCCAAAAAGACACACCGCGTGTCTTTTCTATCCAACTCACATACCCTCTTTCTAAAAGTCAAACCGGACAAGGGGTCAAATCACAAGACAACCAAAGCAAGGGGGCCAATAGTTCGTGCATCATCATATGATGACCAAAGTGCGCCCACAACAACCCCCCCCAAAAAAAAGAAAGAGCCACCTCATTCAAACTAGTTCGGCCCGGACAAAGTACAAAAACCCTGCTGTTCACTGAGAAATGTCTAAAACTGTCAAAAACCTGAAATGAGAATTCGATCCATATTGGATCCCGAAGGACCCAGGAATCATCATGACGAGCTTGTCTTACCCCATCTGCAAGCTTGCCGAAAAAAAGAAATGCATGTGTTTGGAAAGCAGGGTACTTGAGTGGGCAATGAAGCTAGCAATCAGGTGGTTCGACGCTAAAGCTATACTGTAGAAAGCTTACAACCTATTACGCAAACCATACTAGCTGTCCTAACACCATGGTTCTCGCCCCCAAGCAAACGAAGCAATCGTTGACCTTCCTCACTGGGTTCACACTCTGGTTCTTGCCGGCCGCGCCAAGCAGCCCACACCGATGAGCAAAGAGGCCAAGGCGATGGAGAGGTCAAAGCAGTCCCCCGCCTGCGCCAGCTTTCCGGTCTTTTCCCAAATTCCCTTTAGGGTTTAGGGTGTAGGGTTTAGGGCTTGGGGTTTGGGGTGTAGGGTTTTATGCTCAACTATTCGGAGACGTGGTTCAAAGCCTATTGAGTGGAACTTGGCTTGGGTCATCAGCTGAGCTGGAGTGGGCCCAGTGTGGACTCTCGCACGTCATTCCAGCTTCAAACTCTTTGTTGCGCAACCAAGTTCACAGGTTGCTTTGCGGCAAGACATTGACCGAGGAATACTCTCACAAATGGCTGGTGGACAGACATCCCTTGATAAACAAGGCCCTCCAGAGGGTCCCCAAATGAAACTCCACCGTTGTTTGTTCTAACAAATGTGATGTTCCTTTGTCTTTTTGGGGGGAGAGTGATTTGAATAAGATTTGGGTACTCTTGCCTGGGCTTTCCGGCTCGAGCCATAATTCGAATGACAACAGATCGTGTTTGTTGAGCCGCACGTGTAGGCATGCATTGGAGAGAGTCGTATTGGAGAGAACGGAGACAGTGGACTGAGAGCATGTTGCCAAAAGACATCTTCTTTACCCGTTCCTCAGTTGCTTGTGAAGGTTCCGGGGTTCGGTTGCAAATCCCCAGTTCAGTGGACCACGTGCGTCCTCTAAGCCAACGCTTCACTAGGGACGAAAATGAGGGGCGGCCCACGCCGAGGGAGCTGGTGTTGCGCCCCACCCCACCCCACCAAGCTTGGAACTTGAATGACTTGGAAGAAATCCCGAAGCCTGCCCAAAGTTCGAAGCTCAACTGTGACCCTGGTAGACAAAGAGATGGAACCCTCTGAGAGGTTGACCACACTGGGCAAGCCAACAAACAAACTGTCAAGAAAAGGTCTGGCTGGGTCGCCTTCTTGTTCAAATCATGGGTTGAACCCCGATTGTCGAAACAACCTTTGGGTATCTCTCGCAGCAAAAAAAAAACCCACACTATCTTTCGTGGAGTGAGTCAAAAACAAACAAACATGGGTTTGGATTTCGTCGAAGAACCCGCTTTGATGTGTACCAATATTATTATCATTGTTTTCATTAGCAAAATAATGTGTTGATTCTGTAAACATTGTACAATCCTATGGATTAAACAACCTCATTTGGTACACATCTCGATTATTGTAAATACCTATTGTGTTGTTTTCCCTACTGTAAAACCTCGATGATATTGTAAACGGCCTCCTTTGGGCTTCCCTTTAAGGACGGGCCACCTGGTACGCAGCCCGAGAACTTCCCCACTCGCCTGCCAGTTCAGCACGGACGCTGGGGCTGGGATCACCATGGGATATCGGTCCGGCGGGTGGAGCTCGTCCTAAGCGACGAGCTCGTCCCGAGGGCCTGCCTGCCTGCTTTGCTTGCTTTGCTTGCTAGGGTTGAGGGTTTAGGGTTTAGGGTTTTGCCTCTTTGCCTTCTTGCCCATCTGTTTGCTTGATTTACTTGTTTGCTTGCTTGGTTGGATGCTTTGTGTTGCTGTCTCCCTGCGCTCTCATCAGGCCTATTGCTTGTTTTGCTGCGGTTTGGTCTGGCATGGCTTCGTTGTGTGTTGGTTTGTTTGCTTGCGTGCTTGCCTGCCTGCCTGATTGATTCATTGATTGATTGATTGATTGATTGATCGATCGATTTGTCGTTTGATTGTTTAAGTGGGCAATCACTTCAGCATGAGCAGAACCTGTCCCAAATCTATGGCATTCAAGTCCAGAAACTGAACATCTCAGCCGCGTGGGAGTACATCCATTTTATTCCGCGGCCCCTCCCAAACCCCCTTCCAAATGCCTCACAGCCTAGTGGGAATATTTACCACTATCATGGTCTTCTCAAAACTCAGGGAGTAAGTTTAAACAACACCCAAACCGAAACTCAACCTTGGCCCAAAGGTGATGTCTAATCTTTGAATCGAACCCTTCCGCATCCGACCAGCTGCCTCTAGCTAATTGCGCCATGCATCTGCTTGTCTTCTCTTTCTGTGATTCTGCGGATGGAGGTTGTCCCATTCATCATGCTTGTCCGTCAGAGGTGGATTTTTTGTCCATCCAGAGTTGTAGTCGACTGGTAAGCGTGGCTAGGATTGATCGCCTAGTCAGCATCACCAACGTGCCAAACACAGCGTACACGTAAGCACCCAAGATCCTGGTTGGGCAGAAAGACATCTCAGTTGAAGCCCAAAGTGGGCAAAACCATGCACCTTAATAGCAACCCGGCGAGAGTTTGGATACAAATTGGGTCACCTCAAATGGGCCACGCGCCATAGCCATGTGATGCAAGCTCGATCCTGTGTAGTAAAACTCAGCTATATGAATGGGGGAAGGCTTATGATCATATGTTACATCAACATGATTGAATATTGCGGGCATGAACTGTTGGGAATCCTTTGAAGACATGATCCTGTCCACCAACTATGTTTGAGAGTCTTGCGGGATGGTCTGCTTGAAAGGTAGACCCTCGTTGCTTCAGTCGGTGCCAAGTCGCATAGTTGAAGAAGTCCGCCAAAAACTTGGAGCAGGACTTGTACTCGTAGAGCTCTTGGTATGGCAAGTGCCTGAAAAAAGGCACACTAGTGCAACATGTCACGACCTGGAAGTGAACAATTCACCGCTGGGCCAAGACTACACATGGCGCAGTGGATCAAGGGAATACATCAGGTCAAAAGAGTGTCGGAAGTATTGGTGGATATAGGCTCTTCCCCTAAAGATCCGGTTCCTCAGCATGCAAGAGCAAAGTCGGGTTTACCTTGGCTGGGCCTCTCTGGTGAACTCCCTTCATTTTTCCCATGGTACTGATTAGCCGCCCAAACTTTGCGTACGGTGAGTGGCCATGCAGCTTTTTCAGAAAGGACGGCCACCTTTTCCCATGAGTGAGACTTGCTTTCAAAGGGCCAGGCGGCGAACAATTTTTGAAGCCGGGAGCTTAGCTACAACAAGGGCAGATCCGAAATTGGCAAACATCAGCTCCGGTCCGATCCGGTCGTGCTGCACCAAAGGACCTGGACGACTCACCCTCTGCAAATCAACATGGGTATGTGTCAAATGGAAACCCCTTTCAATCAAAGGACAGGTGTACCCTAAAAAAGACAAACAACCGCATGCACCCCCCACCCCACCCGCCACCGTTCTTTTATGGCTACAAGCAGAAAATAGATGTAATGACTCTCCATTCCTCCAGCCCCCTGTCCCACAAAGGGATGTTGTCTTCCACCCAAGCCCTGCCCGTGAGTGGTGGGGAGTCCAAGACTCGTTGGGCGCAAGGTGGTCGGCAGAAACTTGGGCACTCCATACCTCGAGCGAATCCGCGTTTCCAACAAGCACGAAACACGCGGGACCGCCGACTCGGGCCGAGCGGAGCTATCTGAATGACTCAATTTGAATTCCCCCCATGCCCCTTGCTCCATGCCCATCTGCCTAACGGAAGAGCAACTTGTTGGAAAAGTATGCATCAACTAACATATCGACTTGATGTTTGTTTCGTGCTAAAACGTGGCAAAACGTCTCCTGCCTGTACCTGCACTCTGGTGTGCAATTCTCTGGCTGGTAAGAAGCATGATAAGCATGCAAAACATATGCCCTAAACCTCTTTTGCCCCAAGTAAGGATGCTTCCTGACAGCCCTACAGCCGGACGCCTGTAATCATGCGGATCTGTGGGGGCCAAAATGGGCCCGGGCCAAAATGACCTCTGTTGCAAACACCAAATACGCACAAGTTTCAAGGAAGGGAGGCATGCATGCGGTTTCTAGGCAGAGACGAGGGCTTGCGCCAAGGGGGTGTGTAGCTAGCTTGAAGCCAGCAGTACTGAAGGCTCAATCTGCATTTGCCACCTCGGGGAGCCATGCTTCTGCCATGTGTCAACATTGCTTAGCACCTGTGGCATCTCGCGAAACCAAAAGGGCCAAGGCAAAGCTCACATTGCCTAAACGACTCCTTAAATACAACAAGTGACATCTCTCTGCATGCCAAGTTTGACTGCCAGGTGCCATTTTTGTCGGAGGTCCAAGCAAGAGTTCTGGACATAGACGGGGCACCTCCCTGAGCCCTTCGCCTCGCTTAGGAGGGGGGGTCTTCGGGGGGTCTTCGAGGTCTTCGATGGTCGATCCGGGGGGCTCATTGGGCGGGCAGAGGTAGAGGAAGCGATTCCCGTAGACGTTCACGAACTGATCCTCGAACTCCCGGACCTGGGGAGCTGAGCTTCCATGCGCGTTTTGTTTTGCTTTCGCCCATCCCCCCCGGGGAAAGAACAAAACATTTGAGGAAACATAGGTCCGGTAGCGAAAGCGATTCCCTTAAACAGAAAAAACAAGGGGGAAACACGAAAAAGCCACTTAAGGAAATGAAAGGCTTTGGAAGTGAGCCCAGGGGGGAAGCCATGTGAAGAAGGGGATCGAGTTTTGTTGGTAGCTGGAGTCTCCATGATCCGTTTAGAAAATGGTGCCACCTGTTTCTTTTGGGTGATGACCCCATTCTTTGAATGGTCATGGAGACTCCAGGAAGTTAAAATAAAGGAACCACCTGCCAAAAGCAAGAAACGGAGACAAAGGTTTCGTTTTTTTTCTCGGGAACCCGGAAAGTGCTCTCGCCCCAGCCTTCTACAGGGATCCTTACATTATACACCTGAACGTTGCAACTTGTAAATGGTGGGAAACCCCTTTATTTTGGTGTTGAAAAAACAACATGTTTTAAATGGTTGCCAACTGTATCGATCTTTTGAGGAGCCCTACCTTCCGGATTGGGTTTCAACCCCGTAGCCTCGGATGTAAGGCCTTTTTGGCCGTGTCAACCGATAGGGGCACCTCTTCGACCACATCACCAACGTCACCTGTCACCTTGGAATCGGTCTGTCGGAAAGCGGAAAGGGGCCTGGTGAGCCTGCCAAAATCCCAACACCTCCTCCGCTTAAAGATTGGCATTGTCTTTTTCCCTCGTTGAACGCTCTCTCTGGTTTAACGCTCTCTGATCAAATCACCGTTCACAAGCCTGAAACAAGCTCATGAGTGGACTGGCCGCAAGAAGTTGAAGCTGAGCAAAAGATCCCCCCAGGAACCTTCATCCACCTTCCTTGTCTTACTCGAATCGGTGTGCGAGTTTGATTTGCCCAGACTCCTAAGACTTCCACTCCAAAAATCCCGAAATTCAGCTTCCCTCTAATTGGTGGGGTGGTTTGGTTAAGGAGGGGGTTCCCATCAGCTCGCCCTCAGCTCGCGAATTGACACACCGCTCGCCAGATTTCGTCGCCGCGCGGCGTGCTCCAAAAGGAGCTCCTCCTTGGGTGTGTTGCCCACCTGCGAACTCCCAAGTCCCCGGCTCCCATGCCAACCCCTTGGAGACATTTGGGTATGGGTGGCTCATGGGAGACATTTGGGTATGGGTCCAAATTTCCACCACCAAAAACCGCAGGTCTTAGCCCATTCCACGAACCAGGGCTATGCTGGGTGCCTATTTTGGACCCACAGCCATTTAGAAAACACACTGTTGGGGAGTTGAACATCTCCTTGGGACCCCCAAGAGCTGTGTTCTTGAAAGCTCTGGTCTCTCTGTCCCTGGAAAATTCGAGGGACCCACGCCCAAAGGCTCTACTCATGCATAGAAAGTCCAGTAAAAGTATCGTGTGGCTCAAAATGGAAGATGGCTGTGATATTTCGAACTTTCCGCAAACCTCCTTAATCTGCAATCTCAAAAGCTGCTTCATTCGTAGGGGGGCCCTCAATTCCCAAACAAGGAACATGGGGGATGGCCAATGGAAACCCCACCCAATGAGGGAATCTGGTTGGGCCCAAGGAATATTGGTGGCAGCAAGGTCAGACGAATCCGTGTTTGAAAAAGTGGCAGCCAAGAAACCAAGCTGAATCAAGCTGAATCAAACAAACCAAGTCAAACCAAGCACACAAGCAAGCAAGGGAAAATCATTGCAGGATGCATGTAGATGATTTGGGTACATCTTCTCAATTCTCCACACAGCATTTGGTTCCTTGGTGTTGCTCTGAACAAATGGCCAACAACAACAAACACCAGCCTGGACCAGCCCAACCCTTGGCATTGGACAGTTGGGCGGGTTGGGCTGGGAAAAAGCAGTCAAATCAGGAGGTTCATTTTAAACCATCAAGTCAGGAGATCCTCCAACCTCCTGGCTCCAGGTATTTGGCCCCTTTTGGGGGAGATGGTTTCTTGAGACCAGACCTTCCCAGCAAGCTGCAGGTGACCTGCTTTCCAGTTACAAGACCAGTCTCACTTGCCCAAAGAACCGAGATATAAAAGGTGATCACCTTTTGGGGCCATGACTAAAAACTTGACCAAAAAGGAGAAACCAAAAGGTTAAAAGGTCGGCTTTGGGCAACGCAGTTGACAAAGTGCTGCGAGGCACATACCGCGAGCTGGGGTTCGCGTTTTCAGCGACCAGTCGGCGGCAGCGGATCTCTTTCTGGGTGGGCTGCTCTCGGGAAGCTTCCTGAGAGCAGCCAGAGGCGGCAGATCCGACTCGCGAGTTGACCGGTTCACAGTTTACAGGGAAAACATCTGTGGGTGGTTGCGAAATCCTCATTTTCTTCGGCACCACCGTTCAGAAACCCTAAAATGATTCGATTCCCCTGTAAATACCAACAAAGAATGGTGTCAACCATGGTTTCAAAGTGATGCAGGATTTTGTCCATCCACACTATAGGAAAAGCAAACGGGCCAAAATCCGAGTTCAGTCTGGAACTGAAGAAACGTCTTAAAAAATGAGGGGACCCCCTTGAAAAAGACTCCAACACTTTCAGGACTTCCCTTTTCCTTTCCTGACAAGGTATGTTACAATATGAAAAGAGATTCCTTTATAAGTGGAATTGGCGATCATCTGATTTTCAAGGAGGGTAATGTGCCTGCGTTTCCCCGTTGCATGCTGTACAGCTTAGTTGCCGAATACCTGCCATGAGGAAACCAATCCAGGGCTTGACTCCCTATTCTATCTCTCTTTGCATAAGCTAGCTGCTACCTCCTGGATGTTTCACGGTTTTCGGGAAAGAAGGATGGACAGATTGAGGCAGTTACCCTTAGAGCAACCTGTCCCCTTGATAGAATCGGGCTTCGCCCATTTTGGCTGGCTATCAGCTCACTTGCCGACGAAAGTCTTTCCGTACCAATGGCTGATTCGGACTTGGGAAAGTAAAAACCAAACTCTGGCTAACACCTGAAAATGGTCTGCCCGCCAAAACACAAAGACCTTCAGGAACTCAGGAAGTGAAACGTTCACTTCGGTGGTTGCAAAGGGACCGGGCTTCAAGCCCGGCACGTGAGGAATTTAGCCCCCTACTTTTCGTGAACCAAGGAGGATTAGCTTTCAAGAACACACCATGCGCGAAGACTCACTTGCGCCCAAGGACCCAGAACTAAAAGTTGCCTTTTGGCACATCTAAAATGGGCCTCTCTTAAATCTGGGCCAACACTTGAACAAAAAAAAGCGAGATCCCGTCGATTCGCTGAACGGGCACCTGAGAACACGCCAGGAAAAAAAAGAGCCAAGCGGCCTCCACAAAGCCCAGAGGCAAAGACGTGACGTCCATCGCGCCCGTCGGCTCTGGGGCTCCGGGTCTTTGAGCCCGTCTGCCGTTTAAACGAAGATGCCCCTAAGGTTGCGCCCGCATCTGAGCTAAACAGAACAAAATATGTCCGAGATGTTTATTACTATTATTATTTGTATTTTTTCTGCAATGTACCCTACAACTAAACATGGTTTTGCTTTACAAGACCTCAGCCAAACCTCCAGTGTCTCTCCAACGAGCTCACTGAACATAAATCCACAAGTGTCCAAGAAACACAACGGAAACAAAGCAAGCAAACACATGGGGAGCTTCCCAAATTGGGGGGGGGGGGGACCGCTTCCCTTTTTGGCTGACATTTGAAAGGAATTCCAAGGGAACCTGTCAAGCGTTTGCATGTGGGAGAAATGCACATAGTAACAAACTTCCAAAGGGTGTTCCTCCAGAAATACCGAATTGGTCGTCAACCTGGACAAGCAAAGGCCGGAAGGGCAGACATCGCTGCGCTGGAAAAGGGACACTGGCGACCCTGGAAAAGAGACACTGGCGACCCACCACTGCACGTCAATGGCCGGGCAGTCATGCTAACGTGGGAGAAGCAAAACAGCCGCAGGCCTGCATGCTATTCACTCAGCCCAAAGCGAATCGACGAGGTTTTGACATCGCCTTGTTCAACTTAATCTCTTGTGGACTTTCAGCAAGTGGGGTTTGATAGTTATCTGGCGGAATATCATACAGTTTTTTGCCGCGGCCAATGAAGGTCGAAGATTCAAGTTGAAAACAACTCTAGGTGGCACGGAGTCTAGGGTTTGATTCCCCCTTCTTTCCGCCATCGTTCTTTTCAAAAACCAGCCATTTCCCCAGGGTTTTTGGTGGCTTCTAGAAAGAAACACTCCCTGGAAAGAATGGGGAAGTTACCCCTAGAAAGAGGGCTGAACCAAATAAAGAGGACCGCAATATTCTGTCAGCTCTGCTCCTTGCAGCGCGGTGGTCCGTGGTCCTTTTGCGCAAAAACGCAATCAGAGACGGTCGCTAGATTGGCCGAGCTGATCTGTTGCGATGTGTTGGTGGGTTCTGGTTTGGCATCACCTTATCATGCATTTCCAAAAGAATCCCAGAACGACGGGGATCACAAGTGTTCCTCACAAGTTTCAATTTACCGGAGCGTTTCAGAGAATCTGCCACTTTCCCAGCACCCTGCCGCCTTATCCCATTTTTTCGCGGGTGCCGAACCAGGCCTGAGTCCCCATTGCTCGGTGGCCATGGGTGAAATGATGGGAGCCCCCCCCAAAAAAATATCGCCCAAAACCACCTGAGGTTTCCGATGAGATGCAGAATGAAGTATGGGGTCCCCCCACTGAACAACTTGGAGTGTCTCCGAATGAGCCTCCCAAATTTTCATCACTATTTCAACTTCCTCTGAAACTAACAACAGCTGGTCCCATACTGCTTCGACGCTCATCCAACACACACCAAAGGCTCTATCTTGAAATGAGCTTGGCTCCTTCCAAGCTATCTGTTGCTCACGTGGCCTCCACAGTCCGAAGAAACTCCGGAGACGTTGGCTCGTAGAGGCTCTCATAGGTCATCATCGACACGTGGTGCACCCCTGCGTGTTGCTTTGGACGGCTCGCAAAGGGGCTGTGATGCAAGTTGGGACAAAGGATCATACAGGTGTGTCTCGAAATGAGGAGACCCCCGCCAAACAAACAACTGCTTCCTTTTCGTGTTTCCCCTGAAACCCAAGCAAACCCAACAGGGGTTCCACCCACACACCGAGAAATTCACCAAGATCAGTGGCAGCGAGAAGCTCCTTACCGTATGCCGGAAAGCCGGACTTTTTTATACGGTGAGCCAAAAAGGTGCCCGGGTCAGAAGACTCAGCTGCCCTTTCTGAGCTGAACAAACTTTGACTCGGCCTTTCGGGGCGGCGAAGAAGGTGTGCACTGGCCATGCTTGAAGCATCTTGGCCCTCTGCGAGTGAAAACGTGTCCTGGGTCTTTTTTCCGGAAAACCCCCACCACGCTCATTCCCAAACAGTCTAGGGTCCAAAGATCCGGTACCAAATAGAGGTAAAGACGGGGCATATGGGACCCAGGGAACCACCTTTAGACTCAAACCCCAAGCTGCCGAACAAATCTTCCGCCGAGGAACTGCGGGCAAAGAGCTTGGCGCCGTCGCGCACACCTCGTTCCAAGTGGGCCCTTGGACCCTTTCCGCACTTGCCGGCAACCCTTGGACGCTTTCTGCCGACCTGGGCATAAAAGCCTTTTGGGAGTGCAATTAGGGTGGTTTTCCAGTCAATGTCGGGTAGTTTTTTTTTGGGGATGATCTGGTTTATCGGGTTGAAACTGCCTGAAATCCAAACCCGTTCCGGCTTCCCCATGAGGGCTCTCCGATTTACGAGAAGTCAATCAACATGGAACAACAAAAAGTTTAACCGGTCGGTGTTGAACATCTGAGTTTGGGGGCTTACTTTTAAGCCAAAGGACACCACCTATTTTGGAGTTTTGATTTGAGAGACCACACGTGCGCGGTGCACGTGTTACTCGGCCGCGTTCTTCCTCTGTCCCCGTTTGCCTTGGAATTGTACGTCGCAATTGCGAGGGCCGCTTCTCCGACAAACACGGATCCATTGAGATATTCGGAAAGTGTTGTTTGCCCCTAGGTGGTAATTGAACACGGCTGACACAGGCGAAGAAAGCGGGGAACCAACCCTGACGCGGCAACTGTTTTCACAGCAATCACCAATTCAGCAAATGGAAAAGATGTGTGCTTCAGTGTTTCTAACGGTCCCATAAGAAGGAGCGAGCAGGTCCTTCTAGTTTAAGCATCCCTTCAAAACTAGAGGGAACCACCCCAAATCTTGGTCAGACCGGTCTGACACCCTTCAAAAAACTAACTTTTGTTGGTTGAACGGCATAATGGAGTCCAAAAAGGCGAACAGCTATGCAGGTAGCGAAGCCTGCAAATGCACGAAGGAGCTTCACGCGAGCAAGTCCCATTGCCCATTGCTCAGCACAGATTTTTGCCCGGTCGCCAAGGGCCGACAGCGTCTTCGTCTCATCCAGGACTTTCAGATCATCACCTCACTCTGCCAAGGTCAGCACAAGCTGCCCTAAGAATTTGGGAGTTAAAGGGTATCTGGCCTAAAACTGCAGGCAATGTGGACAGGATCTTACAGCACCTGAAATCACCTGGTATCTGTAGAACCCTGTTGAAACTTCTGGCAAGGGTGGCTGTTGATTTGTTGATTTGGCCGAACTGTATCCGTTAACCCAAAAAAACGACCCGCTAGAGATTTGCTTTGGGCAAAGAACGAGGGAGGCGAAACCTTCACGAGGTGAAGTTGAATGGGCGGCCAAAATCATCTAGGTCCTCCAGTATATAGAGAGGTTAGAATAAGGGTACCCTTTTTTCCTGTATATAGTCTATTTTAGTAGGGGAACCCTCCCCAAAAAAGGGTAAAAGGGCACTACTGTTTTTAAGACAGGCAGCACCTTGATTTTGGAATCACCACCCTGCCAGCAACTCGCTAAGAACAACATTGGAAGCATGCGATCGGGGGTGAGTCCATGTTGAAGGTTTTGCAAACCCACTAAATTTAAAGGAGAGAGGAGCAGATCAAAACAACCGGGCCTTGCTTGGCCGTGTTGGCCCTCAAGACATTTTACACCTTATTTCTCTGCTTTGTTTCTTTGTTTGGAAGTAGGATGTCCTTTGAGTAAAGACACCTTTTCCGGGGTGCGCGGGAGCAACATGGAACAAGTTGAGAGTGAGGATGTGTCATGGAGCCTCCAGGAAGGACGTTGTAAGGGTTCCTCGACACGTCAGTCTTTCAAAACCGATGATGCTGGGGCAAATTCTGACGAGCTCACCCATGACGCACGTCCCTTACTTGCAGATTCCTTATTTCCGAATGGTCATTGATTTCTTAAAAGTTGGATGATTGAAAAGAATGGCCCTTGGGGGAGCAATGGTAGTGATTAGGCTCCCTGCTCGGTGAAACCTCCAAAGCTTCCAAATTCAAGTTGTCTGGAAAGCTCCTCTTCAGCTTCCCCCGTTTCTGGGTGGTTTGGATTGGTTTGGAGCCCGGTGGTTTGGCGGTGAAATGGTGTGGTTTTCCATTTGCCCTCAAGAACCAGGGTTCAAACCAAACCACCAATGAATGGCCGCCTGATCCGCCACTGTCCTTTGAACTGGAGAAAAGGTCACCCATGCAACACCTGCTTTCAAACGAGATGCATCCACAAAAAAACCTCTCTTGTCCAACGTCGGAAAAATCTCCAACACGACCCGGGCCATGTCAAATGTGACTCCGCTTTTGGCATGGTTTGGGGAACAAACCATTTTCAGGTGAACCCCTCAGTTGCCTAAAGGACCCAGGAGTAAAAAGATGTCACCTTTTGGGGCCACAACCAATAAAAGGACCCAACCGGGGAAACTAAAACTCACTTGCCCAAAGGACCTGGAAATACAAGGAGATCACCTGGAGGAGCTAAGGACCCAACCGGTGACTTGCCCGTTGAAACCTTGACTAAAAATCGACCAAACCGGGGAAACCAAAAGTTGTTAGATCCGGTCGATTCCGGCCTGCAGCATGGCACAGGCAGAAATCCGCGCCCGCCTCGACGCCCGAAAAAGCAAAGGATCCGGAGGTCGGCGAACGAAACAATGGGCCCCGCTAGACGGGCATCCTCGAAATGACACCGTTAAATGGTGGTGTGAAGGGCCCTCAAGTGTTGTTTTTGTCGTTGGCAAAACGCATATAGAATCTCAACAGAAGATCGAGCGACAAGAGGACCCGCTGTTGGGTCCCGTTATAATATACATGGGTGTGCAAGTGAATCAGTTCCACATCCACAAAGCACGAAAGCACAAGCAACCAAGGTTGTCAGTCCCTTAAGTAAGGTTGCAACCATGGAAAACAAGAACTACGGTAAACCATGGAAAGTAATTCGTGTTTGCAACCCTGGAAAATAACTAAGCACCTGCAAACAACCCAAGCAACCATGGAAAATAAGTGAGTACTTACGAATACCCTGCCCCCTTGTCTTTGGTGCACC